CCAATCTTCACTACTGAGATGTTGTATAAATTCATTTAAAGTGACTTCATTTATCACTCTAGTTACCTTCTTATCATTGCGAAAGTTAGAAATAAGGTTTATGTTTTTTATAACTAATAGCTGAGCATCATGATCAGATAGCCCATTTATTACCGGTTTAATGGAAATGTGTTCTAACCTGTAACTATCTACAAAAATATTATCAATGGCAGAGTTGGAGCTATTTTGAATTCTTGTGGGAAAGCTAACTGTAGGTGTAAGATTAAACGTTGCTAAAAGAGAATTTAGACATTGCTTATGGCAGCTTTCAGAGAGATACTCAATATTTATATCCCCACAGATGACAAATTCCGTTTTTGGTTTGTAAAGGTAGTCCATTAAGCTGTTTAACTTGTTAATAAATGTTTTAAAGTCACCTGTTGGTGCTCTGTATATTGCTAAAAAACATAATTTAGAAAAATTTATATCAAGTTGTACAGCACAGCATTCTATGTCCTGCTCCTTGCAAAATTGCACTAGCTGTATCTGGCTAAATTTTAGTTTATTTTTAACAAATATACTCACTCCTCTAGCCAAATTTTTCCTGCGAAAACTACTCGCTAGTGTATAATTGTCTAAATTTACTTGTAAGATATCTGGTGCTTTTAGATGATGTTCAGTTAGACAAAGAATATGTGGTAATTTGGCACTTTTAAGAGAAATTATCAATTCTTCAGTTTTTGGAAAAAGTCCTCTGATGTTCTGATGGAAAACCAGGAGATTTTCTGTCTGGGTGGTTTCTAAGTTTTTGGTTGAAAGGCCTCTAATGTTCTGATGATATAACATGAACTTTTTATTTTGATTGTGATCTAAATTTAGAACTGGCTTATTTACAGTGACTTGGATATCTTTCAGGAATTTAGCATTATGTCTGTTGTGAAGGAAGTGCTATGGTCTCTTTAAGTTTGTTTGTTTGTTTGTTATTGGCTTCAGTTTGCCTTATGTGTTTTCTTTGCACAATGTGCATAACACTGGGGTAGATATTGTCATGGACCTCATGCTGTTAGATGCCACCCCTGCATCATAGTTTTTAATTTTCTGTAATTGTTAATAACAACCTGGAGAAAGCATGTATGGTTCTGAAATGATGTCTGATAACAGGCTTTAAAAACATGCAAGTATTGCTGAGCTTTATATATAGCTTTCAGTTTGATGGTGATAATCAACTGTTGGAGCTAGACATTTTAAATTTTGTATGGAGATAAATTATAAACATGAAACATTTGAGTCAACAGAAACATGGTGATGTTGCTAATCTTTGAGGTTATGTCTTACAAATCTAACATAGACCCTGTGTGTACATAAATAATGTTTCTCACAAAAAGGTAACAACACTTAACATTAAAATAACATGAAGAAAACAGAGCTAAGTGCAAAAAAATGCAAGGAACTGGATCATTGGTAGTAATACTATTAAAATATAGCTTCTGAATTATTAACTGGCATCAAAAGTAAATAGAAAAACAAAACAAAAATGCTAACCATTGGTAGAACATGTAGAAAGAAAAGGATAGAGGCTGTTAGGGCACACCAACATAACACAAACTTAACACTACTTCCAACAGTTAACAAATTAAAGAAATATTTTTAAAGTGAAACAAAGCAAATCAAAAGCATAATATCTCAGAACACAAAGAAAAATGTGAAGGGAGAAAGAATGCATGAAAAATTTCCAGCTTAGATGAAAATAAGTGGATAAGGAAGTCCTGCTGTTGGGTGAAATTTGGAGACATCAAGGGCAAAATAGAAAGCACAGTTATGGCAGCCCAGGATAAGGCAATTGGTATAAACTTCTTCAAGAGACTAATTTTGGAAGGAGTACTTATAAGTAGATGCCAGCTATGTGAAGAATACAAAAAAAATATTGCCCACCTAAATCATGATTTCCCATTTTAGCAAAGAATTAATACATGATGAAGTCTGTACACATGTGCATTACTGAAAATATAAGACATTAGAAATTGGAACCAGAAAATTGGTATTCACATATATCTAATTCAATACGTGAACATGAAGATATAATAGTACTATGGAATCAAGGGGTACAGATAGATAGGTACTGGTAAATGGGCCGGACATAATATTTAAAAACAAGGAAGATAAAATTTGCATATTGATGTAACAATACTGTTGGATAGGAATGTAATACAGGAGACTGAAAAGAAATTAAAATATGAAAATCTAAGTATAGAAATTCAGTGAATGTGGGGTAAGAAATGCTTTGGCATACCAGTAATCATTAGGACTACAGGAATTGTAACTGAAGTGCTAAAAGATTATCTGGAAATGGTACCAGGTTTTTAATGTAGTCAGTAAAGGTTACAGAGGACTAACATAGTTTATAATTATAGAGCAGTGTATTTGTTTTTTTTGAGAAAGAAATAATTCTGGTTTTACTAATAATGAGTTTCATGAATTTAGCCATGTACCAACATGGTACAGGATCAATGCCAGATTGAAATAGATAGCAATCATTAGAAGATTTAATGACATGGAAGATTTTAACCTGTTTCAAAGTAGGAACCTTAAAATACAGGCTCTTTCATTGGTACTCAAGGTCAGAACACAGTGCTGGTTATGTAGACTAATTTTTCCTGTTGTTTGATGGCATCTCATGTTGATTCCAAATATCTTAGCACTTTATTTTATTACTTTAATTTATCAATAAATGACACATGATTAGTGAAAAATTAATACTGAGTCATGTTTGTTTAGAAAAAATACTGAGCATGTGAAAATGACCATTATAACCAGTTGTAAAATATCAGGTTTATTGCAGAAACCAATACAAATGATGGACTTGTGGGTGTATGCATGAAACTTGTTTCTATATTTGATCAATTATTGGACTCTGATTGTTGGAATGCCTGGTTTCGGTAAACTAGCATGACTCATGCAAATATGATTACTCAGATATTATGATCTCTGTTAAGGAAATATTTGACTTTATTACACTTGAATATAACATGTCATTACTAAGAAAAATTCTTTTTCTTATGTCTTTAACACAAACTTTAGTCTTCTAAGTCTAATCAGTTCTGCTTCTACAGCTGCATACTAGAAGGTGACATACATTATCTTTTGTTTTGTGTACGAGTACCAGGAGAAGTTTTGAATACTGATATTCTCATTTGTGTTATAAAGTCCAGGGATCCACTAGAACTTTATTTAAAGCATCTATTATTAAAAAAAATCCATTTTACTTTTTTTTTGGGACTGTCATCAAATTAGCAAATGTAACTTGAATGAGTGGGCATCCTGCAGGAGCATTAGTAGGGCAGTGAAGTATGCCCATTAACTAACCAAAATATAAGATATGAGATAAGTGGTCACCTTCATGTTAACTGTGCCTTTGTTCCTGGTGTAGAAGTATGTTTGCTTTTTAGTGGAAGACCTGTTCTGCCATTACATATTTGTTACTTTTGCAGCTGCTGAGCAAATTGTGAAAGGCGATTGCATGTACACAGTTGCTGTAGCGTCTAACACATGTAGTAATGAAGATGAAGCTGTAATTCAGATCCCTGTATCTGTCCAGTGTTCTGAAGAAGTGCATCGATCATACACTACAGTACCACAGTTAGTAGAACAGTTAACTTTACCACCTCAACACTACAGGGATGTTCAAACACAGCAGTACACTCAGGTGAGGGAAGCTTTGTATAAGTTCCCTAGATTTTGAACATACAGTAAACTCCCAATCATCTGACTTGTGAAAGGGAGAAGATGCGTGAATAATGAAAAAACATAAATAGTCCAAAATATGTTGTTTGCTGCATTCACAGAACTTTACAAGTTGCTTTGCCTTTTTTATGAACTGTTAGACTGTTCCTTGTAACAGTACAAATTTCACTCTTATTCTCCTCACCCTATTCTCTCGTCTGTTTCACAGCTTCATTTACAATGTGTGTCGTGCCAGAAGCCCACTTCACGTTCGTCACGCTATAACCATTCAGTGTTTCTTCGTTGATGTTTTCAGAACTTCTCATAGCACACACCATGTCAAGAATTTCTTACTTGCTGATTTCTTCATCTTCTTTTAAATCTAGAAGAAGTTCTGTCCATAGTTGAACCAGCATTACTGGATTCACAGAACACTTTGTATCCCCCCCCCCCCCCCCCCCAATAATTCTTTTGTTGTTGTCTTCACTGGCAAGAGTTCTGAGAAACTCAGCCTCGCAGTGTCATGATGCAATCACTTAATTCCTACCTTACAATTCAGTCATCAATTCTCCATTCTCAAATTTTTTAAGTAAGTTAAATTTTACTCTCAGTACAATTTTCTTTTGATTTTCAGCCATTTTACTGTGGATCTGCAAATGTTGACTATCATTTTCATGTAATTGTCATGTAATACAAAGTAAAAGAATTGACTGAAAGACACTAATAGACCAAGCTTACCTGTAGCATCCCCTCCCTACCTCACCATGGTCGGTGAACAAACCTTCCCATCCCACCACCAGTACTGACAGTAAAGTACTGAAAAAGGCATTGTTTGAATGTATCTTTTGTAGACCCAAAACCACCACACACACATGTGCGTGCCCACCCATGCACAAGAAATGATTTGTGAACACAGTAGCTGCTTAGATAGGTAACTACATGGATACGTCTTTTTCAAACTGAATGTTGCATTTGAGTGGTTATCACTCCTGCATTGTATTTGGGAGGTCCTGGGCTGAAATCTCATACTGGAGACTGGCTGGTTTTCTGAAGTCCCTCCGTGCAGATACCAGAATAGTATGTTAAATTAGGACATGATAATTTATTCCCAGATCCTTTTCAATTCATTATTCTGCACTATGTGGGACTGTGTCTCCAGCGCTTAACTGTGTTGTGATGTTAGTTGTGGTTTCATTCTGAGGTGATTCTTTAAACATGTACATTGTGGAAAGGGAGTTGATTTCCATTTCCATGATATCACAACACTTTAATGGAACCAACCTTAGTAACAGCTCGCTGTCATAATTTTGCCATGCAGACAGCAGCAGAACTCATAGCAATATCACTTGTGTTGCATTGTTTATTGTTGAGTTATCTTCAGCACATCAAAGTGCAGTATGGCCATTATGCATACCATCCAGAATCTAAAATGTGTCTGGAAAAGTGGATATTTACAATATTAAATTTGATCTTAAATATGCTCCATGCTTATTCAAATACCACATGTTTAGATTAAACCAATGGTAAGTTGGTATGAGGAACCCATAAAAGGATCTCAAAGAATGAAAAAAAATCTTGTAATAAAGTACATTGATGTAATCATCTTCCTCTTCATTATAAAACTCATATATGAAGTATTAATTGTTATCATATATTATTATTTATATATAATATATTATCAGTGGGGTTGCAGTGGCCGCACGGGCCTTGTGCCGCTTGGTCACTGGGACTGTGGGTTCGAATCCCACTCAAGCCAGTGATGTTTGTCCGCGTTTTTCTGTGTTGTGCTGTCTTGTGTACAGGTAGAGGCCTTGCGACGGGCCGATCCCCCGTCCAAGGAGTCCTACCGAATGTCTATAGATCAAGCCAACTAAAAAAATTGGGACCCGCAGTGCTCAGGCACTTGAAGATCGGGTCATTCCCATTATTCCAGTATATTATCAGTTTATAATCTTAACTTTGGTGGAATAATTTTTTCAGCCAAATAACAAAGTTCTGCCAGGATGTGTTATGTTTTGTTGAATGATAGAATTTGTTGTTTGTTTTATAAGTGCATTGTGGTGCATAATTAATTGCCTGTAGAAAAGCATGGGGATATTGTAGACAACTTTCATGATCTCTTAGCTGCATTTTTTGCACCAGCTGAATCTTGTATGAAGAAAGATGGAATGCCTGCGACAAGCTTCACTGCAACTTTTTGGGTATTAAAATTTCTGCAAAATTCTCTGTGTCAATGAAATTGAGCAGTTGTTTGTGAAATAACAATTCAAGAATTTCTGCATACTGCCTCTACTTTATTTCTGAAAAATGAAAAAGTAATAAATAAAACATCCAGTTATTTCAAATAGGTTGATTAATTATGTGCCATCCTGTGTAAATCTCTTTAAACCATCTTTAGTGTCAAGTCTTAAATGCATTCCTTGTATTGTCATTGTATGTTCCTGTATTATTTGTTAAAATGTCTGAACTATTATTTGTTTATTCTGCTTTGAAATTGTGTGATAATTTTAGATTGAAGTTGAAGAGAACCTTCCATGTCTAAATGCTGATAGTGGCACAGAATCCAATCAAGATGTGAGTGTCTATTCAGAAAGGCAAGCGTCCCTTCCATTGGGACTCCATCACGGACAGTCTAATGACACAGAATCGTCTTATTATACAGAGATATATAACTATCTTGCTTCACAGGCTGTGCCAGTTGGAGCTACTGAAAGCTACAAAAAGATACTGAAGAAACGAGCTCAAAATTATAAAGTAAGTGCAGGGTGCTTTCATATGAATTCAAATATTTCAGTTGTACATTAATTAAAAAATGTAAAAAACCCATCAAACATCAAGAACAAATATCACTATTTGAATGTGGATTTGATCCCAAAAGATCCCAGAATTTAATGAATTTTGTATGAAAAGATTAAACTTGTTCAGCGTGTTTTCGTTTTGTTAAATTACGAGTTGAATCTGTACTCTGATGTTCCAAAGAACAGTGTGAAAATTTCTGTAGACTGAACAGATTTTTTCTGTACAGATTCTGAAGAACATCAAGGTAAAGTTCTGCAGTTACTAAGGACTTATTGAATACTGAGCAAAATATGTTAGTGCTGGAAAGAGAATATCACAGTTAGACTGAAAGGATTGTTCATAATGATGTATTTTGCACAGCCCAGAGTTGAGCATTCTACCGGGTCTTCAATTTATGCGGTAACGGCCTTGCTTGCATTGCGTGCTCGGCCGGTACACCGTTGACGTCGGCGTGTTCTTCCCGTGAGTCACAGGCGAATCAGTTTCAGTGCCGCTAGCAACAGCGAACTACGAATATTTTTCGTCACTAATACATGTTATTACATTAATTTTCTTACCTTAAATCACAAAAGATGTTCAAAGTGACTTACTTGTGCTTGCAGGCAAGCTTCACATCTCGTTAACATACTTCTAAATACTCGACGAAGCTCTTCTGGGGTAATTGCCGAAATCAGTTGTCGAATATTTTATTTAAGTGCTTCTGCAGTGTGCGGGTAAATTGTGAACGTTATGTAAATTTAATACTTAGACCCTTTTTCCAAGAAATGACTGATGAAGAAAAGATTTACGGTTTCTTCATGCAAGACAATGCTACAGCTCATACAGCTGATCGGTCGATGTTAGCATTAAGAGAAGTGTTTGGTGAAGAAGTTATCGATCAGTGGCCTCCACGTTCCCCAGACTTAAACCCGTGCGATTTTTACCTGTGGGGCATGCTGAAGAACAAAGTTTATGTAAACTCACATTTTGAAGTAATTAGGACATTTTGTGCATCTGTGTTTAATAATGTAGGAGGCATGCTTATTTCATGTTTCTAGATTGTGGAAGGTATACTCTACTATGGGCAGACGTTACCGAAAAGAGTAATTACTGAAACCACGCAACAAAAAGAAATTCTGAAGAGCATTCACATTGAAGAAGGAACAGGTGAAGTAATTAGTATGTGATTAATTATGTGATGATGTGGTTTTATAATACAGTGAGTTTTATAGAGAGTACAACTTTGAAGCAGATTTGTGTGTCCTTGTATATTGTGCAGCTCTTAAATACAATATTATTTAAAATAAATGGTGGGGCAGTGTTTGTTTTTAATGTAATGTGTTTCAGAGTAATGTGATTTGAAAAACAAGTGTTTGCCATTATTGAGGAACATTATAACAAAGTTACATCTTAAAAAATAACACCTGCCAGATGTCATCCATCAAGATTGATGCTCTAGATTAATAACAGTTTCCATTACTTGCAGTAACATGGGTGGTGACATCACATTAATTTCATAAGAAATTGTGATTGAGATTTTTTAAGTCTGCTGGATGTGTTTGACCGCCACGGTGGTCTAGCGATTAGAACGCTGGCCTTGTAATCCTCGGGTCCCGGGTTCGATTCCTGGCGGTGCCCGAATTTATAACTTGTGTTGGGCAGGGCCGTGGTCTAGGCAACACAGAGCTTTCCTCCGGGGCTTCCCCGGTTTCTCCGTGGCATCCCAACAATTACTCCATATACACAGAAGAAGGCAATGGCAAACCACTTCTGTATCACCTGCCTAAAAACATATATGAACAGGTCCCAGTCCGAGAAAAGGATGGAAGGATCCTGTTCATAATATGTTGTAATTAAAAAGAAGGATGTGTTTGAAACACAAGGTAGAAATGGGGGGTATCTGATGGAGAGTGCCTGTGGGGTACTCCTGTACCCTGGGAGGTATGTGGTGGTATCCCCAGGGGGCTTCCTGGTAGGTTACCCTAGATGGATAACCATGTAGGCTACCTCAGGGTATACTGGGAGGGTACCCCCATGGAGAGGTAACCCAAGGTGATCCCCCATGAAGATACAACCCAGGGTGATATCCTTGTGGAGTAAATACAATGGGGATACCATATGGAGGCACCCCCTTGGGGTGGTCAACCCCAAGATTACCCCATGGGGTCCCCCCCTCCAGCTGGGTTTGAAACTTTTCTACCCAGTTCTCAATTGTGTCTTCCAAATGAATATTTTACCCCCTCCCGGGCTGATAGAGTACTACATAAATCAATCTGATGAATGAACACTGCCCCATGTTCTGAAATTTGAACTTAAATTTTTTTTTAAGTATTTCCAACTGCTTTACACACCATCTTATTTTCTTTCAGCAAACATATTTCAGTCATATAAGATCATTGTCAGTGCTTTATTCATCTAGTTATACACATTTGGTTCTTTACATAAATTCATATTTTTACATTTCTACATATTTATGCAAATTATTGTTTGTTATCCATGTCTCCTACTCTAAGTGAATTCCTATTTTTGCTTTAAATGTAACCACCATATTTTTTACTCATCATAACTGTACCATGTGCATAGAAGTTCTGTCAAACCACTCGGAATTTTCAAATAATTTTGAAATGCCAAATAATAGGATGCATTTTGCTTTCATCATTATTTGTGCTGGTAATTATTTTTGTTTTTTACAGTATAGCACAAATTTCAATAAAATTATAATGCTGTATCAAGTTTAACATTTCTCTTTTTTTAATAGGTGTTCACTTAGGATTAAAGAAGATGTATGTGGCAATTAATGAGTTCTATTTCTGGAAAGGGTTGTATGTAGATGTAGCAAATTTTGTGAGGCAATGCAAACAGTGTTCAGAAATACAGACCGCTGGCAGCGAGAAACCTCAGCTGTCAGAACAAAGGAAAGATGGAGAAGATTCTGGCAAAGACAAGAATGTAGGATTTGGAAATACAAGCAAAGTATGGCAAAAGGTGAGAGACTCTAAGGTTATGTTACATTCCACGGCACCAATTTTGTTATTGGATTATCAGTTTAAACATCAATGTTCTTCTATTCTAGTTGTTGTTAAGCAGTATGTTGTAAAAGAATTATCTGGCTGGTCACTTGTTGCTGAATTGCATTTTGTTATGATCTGCATGGACTTGCAGGTTAAAAGCGACTTTACACCAATATTGTCAGAGTGTGTATCTTCCAGTTTAATCAAAATATTTTATTTCACATTAGGTTGTACAATTTTGGAATAGCACTTATGTAGTTTTGGGTAGATATATTTTGTTTATTTTAAATATTTGTTCATTTGTAGCAGTACAGAAAATACAGGGTTAATCATAATGACTCAACAGTTTTGTAGTGTTCTAACTTTCCAACAAATTATGTAATGTGTTTACTGTTGAATTTGTAATGTAGGAAAACTCAAGATATTTGTAGCTGCTGTTATGTCTTGCTGGCATCAAGAGTTCTTGAAATGCATTGGTAGGAAGATGAATAGTTGAAGTGGGAGCTTCTGTACATAAAAATTTATACATCTTGGATTTTTATTCTGAGGCTCAAAAGCACAATATTTCTGAATGTTGCAAGATATGAACTCGAGAATAATTTTGTAATGTTGTTTGCAAGAAGCTTTGATGGCCAGGGATGGATTTCAAAGCAAGCCATAATTGCCTGTGTTCACATTAGAACAATGTATGTATTTGTTTGTGGTTTAGTCATATGATTTTTTTTGCTTATGTAATGTTGTGTTATTACATATTTTGTAAATTCATTTCCATAGTTAGATGCACCCATTATGATGGTAGTGTTATGGTACTGCAGTAAATGTGATGACATTAAGGTGTTAAAATCTGATTTTTATTAATTTCTCTTGTTTAGGTGGAGTTGAAACTTTATGGTCCATATCCAAAGACTGTTCTCCAGAATGAATTCATTATTACAATAGCTGATCCATTCTCCCACTGGATTGTTGCACATCCAGTGTCAAGCAGCAATCATGCCAATCATATAGCAGACTTTGTGTATAAAACTTCCTGTACATTTGGATTTGCAAAATGTAGTGTTATTGGTGTGCCACAAGAAGTTTTAGAGACAGCACAGACTAAATATAAAGAATATTTATCACGGCTACGAGATACTTTATTGACTTGTGGTTTAATGGTACCGCAACTTACATCAACGTCTGGTACCACAATACACAACTTGCTTGTGTTTCTTCATGAGAACCTAAGCCAGTGCACTTGGGTTGGTAAACTCTTGGATGAATTTGTTGAAACCAATCCTCATTCTTGGGATTTGGAATTGGAGAGATTTCTCTTTGAGTACTGTACCACAGCTGGTGGAGAGTCATCCTCTCCCTTTACCATAATGTTTGGTCGCAGCCCAGTCAGTTTCTTGGAGGAAGACAAAGAGAATCATAACGTGATGGACAAAGAAAAACCTACTGAAATTGTATCAAAGAGAAGGAGATTGCAGAGTAGTATACTACAAGTGAGTTGTAGCAGTATTTTTTATTGGTTTAGTATTTTGTATGTACAGAATGTCCCACAAGATCTGTATGCATTATAATACAGAATATTAACTTTGTTGTCAATCAGAATTATTCTTTTTTAAAAATGCCTCTAACAGTAATCTTTTTTTCCCAAATGTAAAACCATAAAGCACTCGACAACAAATGAGGGAATTTTGACTTTCTGTTAAACCCATGGGGAATTGCCTGATTTGTAGCAAACAACCTTGTTCAAGCGACAGCATCAACAACAGCAGTAACACTACGTAAAAGACCAGTCATAACTTGAGAGAATGTTATATAACAAGGTATAATCCCCAGATGCAAATTTGCGGTAGGAATACTCACAGTTACGTGTACTAGTTTCAGAGGGCAAGAAGACATCAATAACAAAAGGTGGGTGATAAGCACCAGGATTTATAATACATGTGTCAATTAAATGAATACATAACTCACTGATGTTTGTAAATACAAAGTCTAGAAGACTACTGATGCCAACAGAGTCTATTTGTTGTGTGAGGTTGAGAAGACACATGGAGGTGTAGACTGGATCTCCCTTGAGTTTGGAATAATAATGGCAATTAGCGTGAGAGAAACCGTGCTTTGAGTCAAAACGATGAGTGCTAAAATCACTAGAAAATTTTGTGTACCCAAATTGTTATGTAAAAAGCGAAAGTAAATTGTAAAAACTTTAGGTTTAGTATCAGGAGGATATTAATTGTTGCCAATGAGTAAATTTAGACCATCATAAGTGGGGATTTCAACTGCTCTCTCAGAATGGAAAACTATAATTATCAGGAAATATATTGTGATCATAACGCAAGTCGTTAAGTCATGTCTCAGTTAAGCATATTATATTGTGGCCCGTGGATCAGACGTTTTCATACAGTTCAAGTTGCTTGGTCCAGAGACCTCTGACGTTTTGATTATAAATAGCTAAAGAATTTACTGGCTGTGTGTTTGTGGTCGTGGAGAAACCACCTGTGTTTACATCACCGGTATGAGCCATTAACTGAGTGCAGTAGCCCCATCATCCTGAGGTTCCTCAGAATTGGCACATTCACCTACTGGGCCTTAAGTTGAAACCCCTTTACCAGGGGAAGAAAGATGAGATGAAACGGATGTGGCAGAATAAATTTTGTCCGGAAAAAGACGTCCAAAATATTGGGCGATGAAACATCCACTAGGTCAAAGACCGGTATTATTGAAAATATTAAAGTAATTCTCTACAACTGAGATATGGAATGAATCATATGAATAGAATTTTATTAATAACCTGGTGCAGGTAAGTGAGGTAATAATAATACAAAACAAAAATGGAATGTGTCTCTTAATTGATATAGCAATACTGACCGATAGAAATGTAATTAAGAAGGAAGTGGAGAAGATCTTGAAATACAAATGCCTTCTCATTGAAATACAACAAATGTGAAAAGTAAAAGAAAAAGTAATTCCAATAATTATAGGAGCAACTGGAACTGTCTCCCAATCACTCAACAAATATTTGGCCAACATCGTGGGCGAACACGACATTAGGGAAAGTCATAAAACCGTCATTCTAATAATATCATACATCATTTGAAAGATGCTTATGTAAAATATATATTGCCTCACGCAAAATCTGTTTAATGCATGCAACATGTATTAAAAAACAAAATGTATTTCAGATTTAGCTGCTGCACTATGTACCACAGGGACAAGGTTTGTCTCATGTAGATAGAAGTAAATACCCTGTAAAATGGTGAATAGATTAAATTAATTTATTTATGTGCCTCACAGCAGCCAAAAAAGGCCAAATTACAGCCAAGTACTAAAACAGCACAGTGATAATATTACAATATATAGATGACATATTAGATAAGAAATAATACTAGTTAAAGACAAACAGACAACAGGAAACACAATCAAAGGTCCTAAATGAAACACCATAGAACATAAACTAGAAGGAAAAAATGTAAGAACAAGCAATGTTACAAGATATCCATTAGCTAAATACAATCCTTATTAAAGATGATGATAATTAAATTATTTATTATTAGTGTGCTGTCTCTATAGCCAGAAGGCCAATCACAGATGAAGCACAAGAAATAATAATGAAGATTGCTGTCTTCTGGGTTATTGCGCCAGGTAGTCTACCAAACTGTACGGTACAATAACCCAAAAGACAGCAATCTTCAGACTCACTGCTGTGAAAACCTCAAATCCTACACAGAAATAATAAAAATAATAATATTAATTTCATAAAATAGAATTATATAATACATGTGGCACTTGCTAAAAACAATATGTATCCCAGAAATAACTACTGCCCTATGTACCTTAGGGACAAGGTCTGTCTCGGGTACACGGAAGTACATACCCCATAAAGTGGTGAATAGATGGGATAATAATAATAATAACAACAGGAACAGTAACAACAATATAATAATTCATTTCAGTTCAATTCAGTCTCTGTGACTGAGCACCAAAGAGATAAAAAATTTGTTCTTATTTTACTGTGCTCTTGAAATTATTTTTAAATATTCTGGACACAAAATATTAATAATAATACATTTGAAAGATATCTAATGGAAACCGTGTTTCAGATTTGAATGCTGTATTCAGGTGGGGAAGATATATTCACATCAGTAAGAGAGAACAAGAGTTTAAGTAAGGTTTAGTAATGATATCCCTTCCACTAGTAATGCAACAGATTTTTGAATAAACAATGTTTTGCCTCCCAAAGAAAGCTGCAGGCAAATTTAGTCTGTCATTATTTTTAATTGCATTCTGTTTTGCAAGGTGTTTGAATCTTTTGTGCAAGGTGACAGCACATGCCAGACAGAGCATTCACTAATTCTTTGCCTGTTTACATCACCCAGCAGTGATACATGTTTAAAAAGTGACCAGAGAAATCTGAAAGGAATTCTGTTTGATCATATGTCAGCATTTTTAGTACATTATCTTTTATTTTGACATACAATGGGAAGTGGTTAATATCAAGTTAAATTCAAACTTTATTTTTCATTGGGTATAGTATTATAGTAAATACTTACATATGTAAAAATTTGCTGTGTGATAGATTTTTCTCATTGAAGCAAAATATTTGTTTTGTAAATTTAATTTCATATTTAAGGATTGTAATCACATCTACTTTTTATATCAAATCTAAAACTTCTTGACGATGGTGAAGAGTCAATTGAATAAAAATTTACTTGGATATTATCCATCGTCTAGTAATAAAACGTAAAAAACGTAAAACGACATTTCGGAGATGGGGCTCTATCTCCGTCTTCAGGTTCCTACTCAGTTGGGCCCACGAGATAGATTTTTATTCATCTACTTTTACCTGACTTTCTGGTTAACTTTTTGATAATTCACATATCTTTATAGGTAATTCATTTCATATAATATATATTTCAGTTAAAAGTAATAAGTATATCTTGTTTGATATATGTTTATTCATATAAATAACATGCACACTGTGGACAAGAAAGGAAGTCTTTTTAAGGTCACATTGAATGTAATTTAAGTTGTATTTATTTTGTTAGTGTCGTCACTGTGAGGAGGTTTTCACATCCAAGATTTCATTCCGTATTCATCAGCGTAAACATACAGAAGAAGCTCGTCGTCAAGGTATGCTTGAAGGGCAAGAACTTCTTGGATCAGTTGCTGAGAGAGAGAAAAGACTGCTGAAAAGAGCAATTTTGAAGCAAAGGCACAAGTTACTTAAACATGGTGAGTCAGATGAAATGTATTATTTGCAACATCTTCATGTCTTGTATGTCTGATATTTTAGATAATCCATACATTGGGATGTTGAAGGGAATGATATCTATGGAGATAGTGCCAAAGAAGGGTAAGGTGGGTAGAATGGACATGAAATTGTGTAGTAAGCTGCTTTTATGGCAGAGTCTACTATCTCCATGGTTTCTTTCCCTTCTTTGTGTAGGAAACTTGGATCGTAGAGAGAGATTGATGACGATTGCCAGTCAGAAGTTGCACTGCAGTCAGGAATCATTGCCTAAGGACAAACAACGAGCTGAATTACAGGCCAGTACAGTAGCTGCTGTGAGGAAAGTTCTGGCTTCAACAAAAGAGGAGCGCAGACGGCGTGGGAGGTACCACAAATATTCAGCAGAACTTCAAGAAGAAATGGCACGCTATGCTATAGAACATGGTAACCTTGAGACTGTTCGTTATTTCTCTCAGCGATTGGGTACAACAGTGAGTGAAAGTACAGTGCGCAATATTGTTAAATTGTATCATGCTTTCACCCCAAGGCTTAAGGAAGAAATTGGTCGTTTTGCTGTACATAGTGGTGTGGAGAAGGCTTGTAGTCATTTTACACAACAGTTAGGGCAGGAGGTGCGTCGTGGAATGGTTCGTAAATTCAAGAAACTCTTTTTGAGTCACTATCCTGATGTCAAAGGTAAGCAGACTAGCAATAACAAAGACAAGGGGACAAGCAATGGAGTAATTAATGCAAAACAGAAGAACATATACACTAATGAGCTGAAAGAT